ACCTTGGACACACTGGGTATTGATGTGTTTTGTGTCCGAAACTAGGATCAATGACCCTAACTGGGTCCTTGAATTAACTGCACCCGGTTTATCCTCTCGTTATTGGTTGCACGCATCCGGAGACGCCGATGCAGCACTCACGGGTTAAGCTGGTGTAGGTATCCTTCTAAGCTCCAAGGCTGAGTCAGTGTTGGCTGATTAGATTCGGGTGAACAGCCATTTATGTGCATCCCGTTTGACGACATCAGCTAAGGTTGATTCACGAAGTAGTACAAAACGCTGTTTGTTCGTGATTTCCGCTTATGCTCCCACTGACTGCAGTTCTAATGCTGTCAAGGACACATTCTATCACGAACTGAACGCGCTACTACGCAGTGCTACTAGTTCAGATATTATAGTGCTTGCAGGGGATATGAACACACAAGTAGGACGTCTGAGCTCTTCAGAAGTTCAGTTGGGTGGTAATTGTGGGCTTAACTCCGAACGGACTGACAACGGTGAGCGTCTGCTGCAGCTGTGTGCGGAGCACCATTTGTTTCTTAATGGCACTGCTTTTAGACACAGTGGGCGCCGATGTGCCACTTGGCGTCCTCCTGTAGCTGATCAGCAATGGACCCAACTTGACCACATAGCCATAAGTTACAGGTGGCGTGGTTCCATCTTGGATTGCCGCTCATACTGGAGTACCTGTGTCCATTCTGATCACGCCTTGCTGCACTGTCGTTTCTCCATGACCTTTGCCAGGAGGCACACCAATCGTCTCATCTTATTGGCAACGGAGAAACTGTCTCAGCCCTCTGGCTGGCAAGCTTATCCAGACGCACTGTGTACTGAACATTCCCTAACTTATCCTAATGACACTGAGCTTCAGTGGACTAGAATCTCGACAGCCATGCACGACGCAGAGCATCTGCTTGTGGCACTATCCATCGTCACCGCACAAGTCACTGGATATCCGAGAGGTCGGTGAACTTGTTGGAATCCAGAAGAAACCTCCTGGCAGGCTCTGAGCACAATGTGACCAGACGGGCAATTAGGCGTGAACTATAGCAGAGCCTGCCTGCTGACAAGGAAGCCGGGTGGACCAGTAGGGCTCAAGAAATGGAGGAGGCAGGAGCAGTAGGCAATTACCGGAAGCTCTTCTAGCTGACTTGCACCACTGGTCCCAGAAAACCAGGCGTCAGTGAGACAATCAGAGACAGCGCGGACCTCTTTCTTCTCAGGTGATGCAGGAACAGCCATGGACGGTTAGTTTAGAGCCTCCGTCGGAGGCCGAGGTCCAAAACGCGATCACGGCCCTTAATCGTTTTCGTGCCGCTGGTCCGGATTCCCTCGCACCTGCACTATTTAAGCATGATGGTGAGGTCCTGTGCAAAGCACTGACCTCCTTATTCGAATGTATCCGTAAGGGTGTCCCGGCTAGTTGGAACGAATCGATTATAGTGGCAATGTACAAAAAGGGCAGTCGCACAGACTGTGCGAACCACAGGGGTATTAGCCTAACGCCAGTTGTGACAAACTTATTGGCTGCGATTATCGTTCGCCGCCTCACTGCGGAACGGGAATCTCGGATTAGGGAAGAGCAGGCCAGTTTTCGCCCAGGACGTGACTGTATAGACTATCTATTCACTTTGCGGCATAAACTAGAGCAGCGCCACGCATATCGCGGACCGACAATAGCTGTGTTCCTCGATTTCAAGAGTGCGTTCGATTCAGTTGATCGATCGATTCTGTTCGAAATACTTGCGCGGAAAGGTGTTTCCACAAAATATGTGAACATCCCTCGTGCTCTATACTCGAACACTACAGGCCGCGTCAGGGTCTATGGTGTCCTATCACGTAGCTTTCCGACCACAAGTGGCGTTCGTCAGGGTTGTCCGATTTTCCCATTTTTGTTCAATTTCGTCGTGGATTCTATCACGGAGTGTTCCCTTGGGGAATCTCACGATGTAGGCGTTGAAGTGCTGCCTGGTGAGAGTTTGGTTGATCTTGATTATGCGGACGATATTGTCTTGCTTTTCGACGATGTTGGGGCGGCACCATCAACCCTGAATAGCCTGTCTAGAGTGGTCCCATTATTTGGTATGCACTTCGCACCTTCAAAGTGCAAAGTGTTGCTGCAGGACCACCAGTCACTTTATGACCTCTTTGACCCTTGCTAACAAGGAACTCGAGGTGGTTGATCATTTCACTTATCTTGGCAACTGCATCAGCAACGATGGGCGCATAGAAACTGACATCAGCTCACACATTGCAAAGGCCAGAACTGTCTTTTGAATCTGCGACATCTTAGGCAACAGAAGTAAGTTTCCCTCGGTCTGAAGTGCCGTGTATACAAGGCCACAGTGAGGGCCGTTATGCTCTATGGTAGTGCGACTTCGCCCCTTTAGTCTGAATAGCTGAGGCGCCTTCAAGTCTTCGATCATCGTTGTCTGCGAAGCATTGCTGGAGTCGGATGGCACCAGCGTGTCCGCAACGATGATGTGCGTAGGCGAGTATTAGGTTGTGATAATCATGCTAGCTCCCTAGAACAACAGATAGCACTGAATAAGTTGCGTTGGCCCGGACACGTGCTACGTATGCCTGGTGACCGCTTACCTAGGAGGACCTTGTTTAGTCTGCCAGGTGTAGGGTGGCGCAAGACTCGAAGTGGACAGAAGTTGACTTGGCAGCGGGAAATGAAGTCATTGAGGACCAAACTGGGTGCCGTGGGTCCGTCTCGCCTTCCGGGCTGGAGTCCACGTGACTCGCCTTGTGCTTGGCTCGAGACTTTGCAAGACATGGCTTGCAGTAGACACCAGTTGCGCGTCTGCTGCCGTCTCCTAATTGGATTGCCTGTTTAAAGTGTGTTTGGTGCTGAGTTGTCTGCGAGGTAAGGGCTGATTATGACGCGTGGAAGTGAAGGCCTCAAGGACGCTGTCTCGCCGATGCCGCCTTATCTTTACACGATAGCCAGTTGTTTGTGAAGGTATGTTGTCTGCACATGGTGTAGACGCCTTGGCCCTGAATGTTTGCTTAGGGCATTAAGGTTTTCAGGTAGGTCCCTATTCTCTCTCTCTTATTTTTTATTTCATAGGTCCTCATGGTTGTATGGCAACGAAGCATCAGTTCAACTGGCTGATGTATTGCTGTTGATGGTGATGAGAATGTTGTGGTCTACCTTGTCTAAGGCTTTGGCGAAATCCAGGAATATAACATGCGTTTCTAGACCAGAGGCGGCAGTAGTCGTCCAGCTATCCCTGGCGCGTAGCAGGTTACTCAGGCACGACCGTTGCCGCCAGAAACCGTGCTTGCAATCGGACAGCAATTTCTGGACCTCCATGTAATCCATTAAAGCGTCTGCGACGATCGATTCCATCACTCTGGAGATCGTAGAGAGGAGAGTTATTGGTCGGTAATTGGTCGGATCTTTTCGAGTACCGCCTTTGTAGATTGGTGTAATAGTCCAACATTTCCAATCGTTGGGAACTTGGCTTTGCGAAAAGGAATGGGTGAACAGCTCTGCTAGGGATAAAGCTAAAGCTGCAGCGCACGCTCGCAAAAGCCTTAGGTGGAAACCATCAGCGCCAGGAGAAGGCGTTAGCCGCAGAGATTTGAGTTTCTCCAGGATCTTCTCCGGAGTGCAATGGACAGTCGTCATTGAAGTTGAGGATCAGAACGAAGAAGGTACTATCGTGGTATGCATTGATAGAGCGGAGAATGTGGGTGCGTACTGCTGGCACAGGACTTTTGCTGCCGCGTTCGCTGACTTCGTTAGCTCTCTGGGGGTCCTCAGTGCGGTGACGCAGTGCTTGACTTGTCGAAGACTGTTGACTTGGTTATACAAGGCTTTGGGTTTGGATGAAACTTGACGCATAAGCTGGCGCTGATGCTCACTCTTAGCTTCTCGTACAGGATGGACGCATTGGTTAAGGATGGATCGGTAATATTCCCACTGAGTAGCCGTTGGGTTGGAGCGATAGTTTCTCCATGCCGTGTCCCTGGAGGCAATCCACTTCCGTGTACGACTTCGGATGAATGCTGGGCGTCTCTTCCCTATGGCAACGTCTTTGCAAGTCGTCGTAGTGGAGCAGAGTTCACGTAAGGTAAGGCAAAAGCTTGACCACACGCTGTCGGCACTCAATTGGGGCTCGGGTGACCAGGTGTTAGCGAAAATGAGAAGGATCAACTTTCCGTAATCAGTCCAGCGTTTGGTATAAGTTGGCGTACTGACGGGTTTTTTCGGCGAAGCATATGAAATCGAATCGGAGGATGCAGTGGTCGTTAAGCCCCAAAAGGGCATCATACTCAACGTGCTCAGCCACCATTTCTTCATTAGTGAGGACGAGATCTAGCAGGGATGGTTGGTTGTTGGACCGGAATCTGGTTGGCTGATACGTGTGGTTGTGCAACGGGGCTGTGTGAAGAAGCTCAATGAGGCCTGATGCAAAGGAGTCAGTAGATGGGACAGAGTGAAACAGACGAGGCAGGCGTTTAGTACAACATCGCACCACATGGTGTCAGGAGACTGGTGGGCAGTGGTTGTTAACATGCTGCAACTGAGGGTGATGTCATAGTCCAGTGCGACATCGCCATCTGGGGTGGCGCGGTCAGAACGGAGAATTGACGTGAGGAAGTTGGATTTCCCTGTCGATTATATCGTCGGAGAGCCACGTTTCCGTTGTGGCTATTAGGTCCGCTGGCGTTTACAGAAGTCAGGATTGGAGCTCCGGAGGTTTGCACATGAGGATCTGTACGTTCGTGTAGATACAAGGGAGACCCATTTGAGTGATGAGTGCGGGAGTAACTAGGGGGCTGCCGGTCAACGGATGACGGGCAGTGCACCGTTTTTTGGTTTACAGGAATGGGGCCGCTAAGGTTTGTGGTTGGGAAAGCAAGGTGTGGGTCGTCGGAGCACAAAATGGGTGCTGGCGGCTGGTTCGTTGAAAGACAAGGTTGGAATGTGTAGTTGAGTTAGGCGGATGGTTCGGTGAGGTACCGTCTGAGGACGGTTTGGTCAGGGTGTGTCGATACCGAGTTGGCTGCTGCTGCTGCTGCTGCTGCTGCTGCTGCTGCTGCTGCTGCTGCTGCTGCTGCTGCTGCTGCTGCTGCTGCTGCTGCTGCTGCTGCTGCTGCTGCTGCTGCTGCTGCTGCTGCTGCTGCTGCTGCTGCTGCTGCTGCTGCTGCTGCTGCTGCTGCTGCTGCTGCTGCTGCTGCTGCTGCTGCTGCTGCTGCTGCTGCTGCTGCTGCTGCTGCTGCTGCTGCTGCTGCTGCTGCTGCTGCTGCTGCTGCTGCTGCTGCTGCTGCTGCTGCTGCTGCTGCTGCTGCTGCTGGTGCTGCTGCTGCTGCTGGTGCTGCTGCTGCTGCTGGTGCTGCTGGTGCTGCTGCTGCTGCTGGTGCTGCTGGTGCTGCTGGTGCTGCTGCTGCTGCTGCTGCTGGTGCTGCTGGTGCTGCTGGTGCTGCTGGTGCTGCTGGTGCTGCTGGTGCTGCTGGTGCTGCTGCTGCTGCTGGTGCTGCTGGTGCTGCTGGTGCTGCTGGTGCTGCTGGTGCTGCTGGTGCTGCTGGTGCTGCTGGTGCTGCTGGTGCTGCTGGTGCTGCTGGTGCTGCTGGTGCTGCTGCTGCTGCTGCTGCTGCTGCTGCTGCTGCTGCTGCTGCTGCTGCTGCTGCTGCTGCTGCTGCTGCTGCTGCTGCTGCTGCTGCTGCTGCTGCTGCTGCTGCTGCTGCTGCTGCTGCTGCTGCTGCTGCTGCTGCTGCTGCTGGTGCTGCTGCTGCTGCTGCTGCTGCTGCTGCTGCTGCTGCTGCTGCTGCTGCTGCTGCTGCTGCTGCTGCTGCTGCTGCTGCTGCTGCTGCTGCTGCTGCTGCTGCTGCTGCTGCTGCTGCTGCTGCTGCTGCTGCTGCTGCTGCTGCTGCTGCTGCTGCTGCTGCTGCTGCTGCTGCTGCTGCTGCTGCTGCTGCTAGTGCTGCTGCTGCTGCTGCTGCTGCTGCTGCTGCTGCTGCTGCTGCTGCTGCTGCTGCTGCTGCTGCTGCTGCTGCTGCTGCTGCTGCTGCTGCTGCTGCTGCTGCTGCTGCTGCTGCTGCTGCTGCTGCTGCTGCTGCTGCTGCTGCTGCTGCTGCTGCTGCTGCTGCTGCTGCTGCTGCTGCTGCTGCTGCTGCTGCTGCTGCTGCTGCTGCTGGTGCTGCTGCTGCTGCTGCTGCTGCTGCTGCTGCTGCTGCTGCTGCTGCTGCTGCTGCTGCTGCTGCTGCTGCTGCTGCTGCTGCTGCTGCTGCTGCTGCTGCTGCTGCTGCTGCTGCTGCTGCTGCTGCTGCTGCATCAGCAACGATGGGCGCATAGAATCTGACGTCAGCTCACACATTGCAAAGGCCAGAACTGTCTTTTTGAATCTGCGACATCTTTGGCGACAGAGGTGAGTTTCCTTCCGTCTGAAATGCCGTGTATTCAAGGCCACAGTGAGAGCCGTTCTGCTCTATGGTAGTGAGACTTTGCCCCTTCTTTCTGAAGATCTGAGGTGCCTTCAAGTCTTCGATCATCGTTGTCTGCGAAGCATTGCTGGAGTCGGATGGCACCAGCGTGTCCGCAACGGTGATGTGCGTAGGCGAGTACTAGGTTGTGATGATCATGCTAGCTCCCTAGAACAACAGATAGCACTGAATAAGTTGCGTTGGCCCGGGCACGTGCTACGTATGCCTGGTCACCGCTTACCTAGGAGGGCCTTGTTTAGTCTACCAGGTGTAGGGTGTCGCAAGACTCGAAGTGGACAGAAGTTGACTTGGCAGCGGGAAATGAAGTAAATGAGGACCAAACTGGGTGCCGTTGCTCCGTCTCGCCTTCCGGGCTGGAGTCCACGTGACTCGCCTTGTGCTTGGCTCGAGACTTTGCAAGACATGGCTTGCAGTAGACACCAGTGGCGCGTCTGCTGCCGTCTCCTAATTGGATTGCCTGTTTAAAGTGTATTTGGTGCTGAGTTGTCTGCGAGGTAAGGGCTGATTATGACGCGTGGAAGTGAAGGCCTCAAGGACGCTGTATCGCCGATACCGCCTTATCTTTACGCGATAGCCAGTTGTTTGTGAAGGTATGTTATCTGCACATGGTGTAGCCGCCTTGGCCCTGAATGTTTGCTTATGGCATTAAGGTTTTCAGGTTGGTCCCTATTCTCTCCCTCTTATTCTTAATTTCATAGGTCCTCTTGGTTGTATGGCAACGAAGCATCAGTTCAAGTTGCTGAAGTACTGCTGTTGATGCTGATGATTATGGCACTTTCAGAGCGACTGTGGACAAGGAATCGGAGCCATTAGCGTTGTTTAGCTTCAGTCTTGTGTTCCTTGTAAACACTGATATGGCCAAATAATATGGAAAATGTGGGGATGGAATGTAGCGAGAAAGTGTTTGCTGATGATGAGCTAAAATCTGCGTTGAGTTTGCCCACATCCACAGTACCTAGTGAGTAACTAGCATATTTTCCGGCTACTGCGGTTTCCTCCAACGGCTTCAGTGTACAGACTAACCTTTTTATCTTGGCTGATTACATATATATGTATGATGAACTATGATCCGAGCACCGAAATACGCTGAATCGAATTACCATGGTTCACATCGCACGAATAGTAATAAACAACAACAGCAAGTTAGTGGGGTTAAAAGCAAATAGAATGTAAAGCAAATGGTAGCAAGCAGAAAGTGTGTTAAACTAATCAGAATGGAATGGTAACCAGCAGTAAGAAACCGAATGCACGTACGCTACTGACTGCGCCATGTCTGATACGATCTCCAACTATTGGTTTAGATCATCCCGAGTCCCCCATCCACGAAGACGGCACGAACCAGCCTGACCAAGTCACTTCATCGTAGACTGGCCGCCTCGCGGTTTCACCTAACTTGGTGCAGCCATGGTGTATAATGCACGCTAAGAAACCTGGTCAACTAGCATACGGAGGACATGGCCTAGCCAACGTAGGCGATTAAGCTACAGTAAACACTAGTGTGAGGAACCAAAAACCAATTGGCGGACCTCAGCACTGCTCACCCGGTGTTCCCACTAGGCGCAGGCAATACTTCGCAAGCACCGGTAGTCAAACACGGCCGAGCGTTTAATGTCCTCGCTGCGAACTGGCCAGATCCCTGATTAGTACAGTAAGCCCCGGTCTTACCGCAGCGTTATACACCATACTTTTCACTGACAGGCTGATATCCCGCCGTCCCCATATATTGTTGCGTCTCTGGAAATCCACACGGGCCTTGCTGATGCGCGAAGTAACTTCCTCAGTGATGTGATCAGCAGCAGTGATAGAGCTACCAAAGTAAGTGAACCGATCCGACACTTCCAGTGGCTGTTCGATGGTAGCTAGAACCGGAGATGTGCTCGTCCATTCCTGCAGCAGTACTTCGCACTTTGTAGATGCAAAGCACATGCCGAAGCGTGCGACGCTACGCATATCCACTGCGTCGGACCCAAGAGGAGTTGTCATCCGTATACTCCAGCTTTTTCAGTCGGTCACCTGTCATAACTTCCACACTGGTAGAGTGTGAAAGAACTCATTCATTTGTGATCATTTCGATCACAAAGTTAAAGTGGAAAGGAGGTATACGACAACCCTGGCGAACCGCACTTGTCGTGAAGAACACAGGAGTCGGTTTCCCGTAGACCCTTACATGGCTTTGGTAATCACGGTAGAGAGACTACATAATGGAATGGAATCTGACCGGCACGCCCTTCATGGATTGACAGTGCCACAAGCTGGCGCGGTCAACAGAGTCGAAGACGGCTTTCAAGTCAAGGAAACTCACTTTAGACGGTCGTCTCTATGTGCGTCTCAAGGTCAGTATCGTTGCCCCTGAGTCGGCAGGTTTAAAGAGACTAGTTATGTTCTACCATGGCTGTCTCCGCAGCTTGGCTCATGTCTGGTAGAAACACCACCTGAGCAATGAGCTTGTTTGTTGTCGGCCGGTGGCCGAATGGTTGGCACGTTTGCTTTCCAACCATAAGGTCACCGGTTCGACTCCGCGTAGGGGTGGGCGTCCTCGCGGTATACTCAGCCCGCGCGCGACTGGTGGTGGTCGCGCGGCAGCGAAGCGCCGTTACGGCGTATAAGCTGACGCATTTCATTTTTTCATTTCAATGAGCTTGTTCATTGTTGCGTATTTGGTGCTGGGACAGCGAGTGAGTGGCTCAGCACATTTATGTCACGCACCAATCTCCGATGACTGGACCACGTGTAGCGCGTGCGAGCACACCGACTTCCGCATCGTGCGTTATTTGCGCGACTGAAGTGCGGATGGAAGAAGAGGAGGGAAGACCAAGCGATGACTTTCAAACTACCAAGAAGAAAAAAACATTTTAACAGGATACGCTGAATTCAGGTATTTCGACTGTTCTCGTCAGCTATTTACACACATTGGTGAACTTATCACGTTGCGTACAAAAGAGGAAGCAATATACATGATCATTTAGTTCAAAGAAAGATGACAAATAACCTCACCAAGATGGGGTGAGGCTGGTAGCAAATTCATTCTGCTTGCACGAATTGGGCTTAAGCCGCCGAATAGCTGAGGCTTCGACAAATTGAAGCAATTGGGCATTGCTATGTTGGTTAATTACTTTACACAAATCACGATGACGTTGGTATATTCTACAATCCACGACGTGTTTAGCAATAGAGCTAGCCGGCAGTTTGGCACCGTTAGCGATGATTTTCTCAAAGGGAATGAAGACCCTCATCTTAATGTTGGCCTCGGTTGGTTTCTGCTGACTGCCGGGCTGGGGATTGAAGACCAATGAACACGTTTGGTTGGATACACTAATGGACATGGCGATGAGCCGACCTCAATGGCATTTGGTTGTGAATTTCTTTGTCCTGTCTCCCCTCGCTTTACATGTCACTCCACCCACATTCTCACCCATGATACGTTATAGGACACTAAGCATGAAATTACTTTTCGGTTTTGTATTGTGTCGTATTTTGTATCACCTTTCTTCTTGGCATCATTTTTATCGCGGCACGTTAGGTGAAATGTGCTTCTTCAGCTAAAGTGTATTAATGATGATGGGAGCTAAGCTCTTGCTATGTATCTGATCCCACCCTTAACTAATATTTTGCTGCAAGAGAGCAATGTTACACGGAGAACGCATTGTACCGCAGGTTTCTGTCCTTGGACCGCGGCTGTTCGCAATTGATGTGAACGATCTTCTTTTGCGGATTATCTGACTTTCTGCAGTATTGTGCATGTTCCTGTGGGTGCTGGAGCGATGCAACTTGTCTAAGATAAGCTCTGAGATTTGTCTACTTTATGGTCACTCCATCAATCGAGCGGTGTTACTTTTACATATTTGTTCAGGTTGTCCCCTTTCGAGCTAACTTTTCGACGGGATCGAACTCCATCTGTTTTCGAGGAAATTGATGTAGGCGTTGTCCAATCATCCGCTCTACACTTACATGATAATTGAAAGAACACCACAGACGCATATTTCGGTATGTCGTGGTTAACGCACCGTTCCTTCGGAATCTTGACAATCAGCATTTTTGTGTGGTTACTCTCAGCTTTCGTTCGGCTCCAGCTGGGATATCGGATCCATATTTACGCGCTCTCTCTCCTCCGGGTGGAATTTGATCTAGCGAGTTTTGAGAATTTGTACCAGGTCGTTCGATGGGGTACAGGGATAGTCGTACTACGAAACCTGCATTGTCGGAGAATGCATTCAATGTGCTAAGGAAGAGTTCGATAAAACCCCATTATCACTTATTTTTAATAGATTGCCCCTGGTACGGCCAGGTTATCTGGTCTCCGCGGTCTTTTCATGAGGCTTCGCAAACCGCACTCCGACGAGATTCTGCTATATTCATACCTCTATACCACTTCATCACAAGACTGTCTCGCGGATTCGCCCGACTCGATATAGCGACAGCATACAATGCACATCGTGGGAGTCGAGTTACGGGCATTCCCAGAATATGACCTAGCCAACGCATACAATCCA